TGCACCCGACCCGACATCGCTCACGCCGTCCAACGACTATCTCGCCACCATCGCGCCCCTGGCGCCCTACACCTGCTCGGCGCCAAACGAGTCCTGCGATACCTAGCGCGGACAACGACATGGGGCATCAGCTTCGGTTAAGGGGAGTTTACCTTGTCCGGGTACTGCGACGCAAGCTGGGCAACACGTCCCGACCGCCGCTCTACCACCAGCTTCATATGCTCGATCTTGGGTGGCCCGCTCATGTGAAATAGCGTCCGCCAACGCCTCACCGCACTTTCAAGCTGTGAAGCCGAATACATCGCCGACACCGAAGACGCCCGCGAGTCGACATGGCTGCGCGGTCACTTGAGTGACCTTGGCGTCGAGGACAACCGCCTGGTCCTACATTGCGACAACATGTCAGTCATCGCCACGTCTAAGTCGACCACCGTCCAAGATGGTACCAATCACTTCGACGTCCGCCACTACTACCTGCAAAAACTTGTACAGCTCGGCCGCCTCACGCTCGCCTTCGTCCTCACCACCGAGGTGGTGTTGATGCCTTGACGAAGCGCGCCACCAAATTCTCCAACGAAACATTTCGCAAGTCGACAATGATCGATTGTCACACATCAAGAAAATAAAAAACAGTACGGCCAACTGACAGTCCAACTGCCACGCCCATTCGCCGGAGTTAGGGGAGTGTTGAAGTTTCTGGTATTTCTTTTGAAACTGCACAAAAATTTTTTTCCCGCGCTCACGGAAGACAAGGCATCCGGATCCGGAAACGAAGAACTCTGACGAAAGGTCATGGCCAAGATTGTGACTTGCATCATTGCATTGTTAATGTCTACAAACCGCAATGCAGAGTCGCTGAAGGATGAGCTTGAAGCTTGTCATGCATACGCCAGTAGGAAGAATAACTGAACGTAGGAAAGGAGCTTTATTAACAACATCAATTCACTTCTCGATTTGCCTCCTTGGTCCTGAGTCGCTTGCTAATCGCTTGTTGCCGGGAATCCTCTGCCTGGCTGTCGTCCTACACACAGCCACATGTATAAGTTCAAGATCGACATGTGTGGCATCCTGTACGTGTTGTCGCCTCCTGCCTTAAGGGTTTCGACGAAGCAGCATTGCAAGGTCATGAAGGCGCGGTCAAGGCGGTCGTAAGGGTACACGTTGAACGCCTCATGTACGTCAGCACCAACTCATCGACCGACCGTGCAGACTTCTGATACTGTAGCGATTCGACGCAAAAAGCCAAGGTCGAGGATGATCGTGCCGGGGGAGTTTGGTGGCTGTAGGGCAAGCTCTAACGACCAGCCACGAGCCCTGTACTGGGCTAACTCGGAGCACAGTTTTGCGTCCGACGCTGCAATGTGGGCCCGCGCATTGTCGTGTTGGATAGATATAGACTTGTCCACGGATGGCCACTTCTCAACAACCGCATGTAAGAGCTTGTCAACCAGGAATGATCGGTACACATCCTTTTTCACCACTCGTTTCATGAGTCCCCGCGACTCGATTTGAGCTTTTTCGTTGGGCCAGGACAGTCTCCACGAATGGCCAAGTGCCAATCTTGCCATCTCACCATGATTTGTTGTCATCGACGCAGTGCGGCTGGGCAACCACCGCGAGGAATATGACTTTGGTGAGAAAGCGCTTATTCTTACATTGCGTTCGGGCTTACTCTCCCATGTACAAGGTAATACGTACGAGCTGTCTTTGTAAGGTAGAACCATTTCTCATCAATGTGGACGTAGTTCAGAAGTTCATTGAACTGCATGTCTGGCCGAACGAAGCTCATGGCGAACTTCAAAGGAGTGTACTCGTTCGCCTCCGTCAGCACGGGCTTGATGACATTGGAGTGGGATCGAATCGTGCCCAGCTTCAGGTACCGGTGAAGAGATCCTCTACTTATACCTATACATGTGTGCAATACAATACCACTTAATGTATCATTCGTTTGGCTGTCTATCATAGCAGTTTGCGTTGAAATAGCTCGAAGTGTAGTTCAATTGGCAAGTGGCACTTGCATTAGTTTCGCTTTCACTTGAGCTGCAGTGAAGGCATACTTTTGGCCCACCTTACCCTTCTTCAGACTGGAGACCGCCACATTCATGTTGCCTTCCGCAACTCCTTGGTCCTTGGCACGAGCAAGGACTTTGCGAATCGTGGCAGCATGCCAGATGTACTTGCTGGCTAGGTATCGGCTAAAACCATTTGGAAGCTGCGGAGTAGACACCATTACTCTTTGGCAAGGTTTCACGAAGGATGGCTTAGGGCTCCTCGTTTGTCATGTCCGTTCCCACGTCGAATAAATGCATGTTGAGAGTGATTGTATTACATGACAAATTCTATTAACATGATGTGCCCTAAAATTAGACTTATTAAGGTGTCGACAGCGCTACATTAGATACATCAAGTGAAAGCTCTTGGCGCGCTCTATCTAGTCGTCCAATATAATGACCAGACATGTACACCCTCCTCAAAGTCGCGCCATTATTGTGGGACGGAGAGAGTACAGTGAACGAGGAAAAAACTCGCAAGCGTTGTACCATCAATAAATTTGCAGTGGGATTAGTAAATTCCACACACAAGACCAGATGTATAATTGCTTCTTAGTCCATGATTGGCTAAATGTGCTTCAGCGACTATCGTGATCTCTGATTGGTTCAGACTCAATTCCAGTCCATGATTGGACAAATATCGAATATGAAATTAGAGGTCTCTAATTGGTTGATTAACCGTCCGCGAAGGCATCCGGGGGAACAAGGTTAGGGTTACGTGAATATATTCCTTTTGACAGTAGCCCATTTGGTTCTCTGTTACACCGCACTTACACGAATATAATACCTTCCGAAAATACAAATTATGAATTTGTAGAGGGCATTTTTTGTCGTTGTGGAAATTGCATTGACAGCGATGTTTCGTGTAACACATCTTACAGGTAATCGTTTCTCGAGTAATACTTTCAATGAATTATTATATATGATGCCAGTGAGCTCAAGAAGCATACAAAATTTCAAAAGGAAAGGCAATCTGGCTTGTGAGATACGTATGAAGGTCCCCCAGATGCCTTAGCGGACTGTAAAGGAACTGTCAGTTTCAAACATTGAAATGCCTAGTTCCGTCCTTCTTCAGCGCGCTCAACGCCGTTACACAGTTAAAAGAGCAAGGGTTCAGCTCCTCCATGCGTACGAAAAATGCATATTCAGTGCGATTAGTGCGATAGAGGGCATACCTCGCTCTACATAGCAAACGTGGATGAAACAGTTCGAGATGGTATTTTCCACGTGTGATGTCGAACTGGCATTAGCCATTAACTTCTTGAATAGAAACGTATGGATGAATGTATGGGCATCACATTGTTTCTATATAAAGATGTTGTCGCACCATCCTGAAATCCTACACCCCTCACACGCAATGTGCTGCTTTGACAAGGTCAGCTAACCCTTCACTAGCTTGCCGTAATCACCACGCCAGATGTCGCAGAGGTACAGTGAACCCCGGAAAAAGCCGACAAGGTACGTATCATCATGCATAGAGGCAGAATGAAATCACTTTATTCAAATTGCTTGAGTCAGGTCAACTTGATTGGCTATAATCATGAGAATTTCTGCCAGTCAATTGCAGTTCCAATTGAATCTACACTGCAATTGGTCAAAATGAATGAGTTTCTGACTTGGTATTGAAGTATACACGTGATTGAAATTCTACGTGTTTTGGATGTGGTCGGTATTTTTGGTGGCGTCAGCTTTTCCGGGGTTGACTGTATCCTATGCCAGTCCTTGCTTGCAAAATAAGGGTACTGATCACTTCAATTGGTTGAGGGATCGGTCCATCCCCGTCCTGGTCAAGAATTAAAATTGCATATTTTCAATCAGTGGCCTCATGTCAGATATAATTTGCTTTCAACTGACAAAAATAGCCACTCGATTCCTATATTCGGCCTCTAGTACTACTACAGGTTCTATTTAGTACTAGCTGCTGGACTGTTGTGAGCGATGGTTTCGTGTGTACCAAGACCATTTTCCATCAGGTACGACAGATTCCACACGAGAACATGTCGGCCCTTCCTCCGCGCATCGACTTCCTTCTGCATTGCAACTTCGGCGACTTCCTCGAGACACGCGAGTTCAAGCTAAAGTTTCGGACGGTTCTCGGCAAATTTGGGGATGAACTCACGGAGGACGCGTGGAATGGGTTTGGCGTTTTCCGCAGCAAGATGGAGATGGTCGTGGGTCTGGTCGTGAACGACGCACTGGGAAGAAGTCCCGACAACCCCATGTCATTCAAGGACGCGATAGCTCAGTTCGACAACCTCAACCGTCATTTTCGCGTGACCAAGAATGAGACCGCCGATACCTTCCTTCGCTCGGTGCGCTGGGGGATCTCAGGCTTCCAGATCTTTAAGAACATGGACACGCACGGCCATCAGAGTGACCAGTACCCAAACCACGTGCCAATTGTCGATTGCGTCAAAAAGTACTGGAGCACGATCGCGTACGTGCAAATGCAAACGATTGTGTGCTGCTTGGAATGGCTCCACGACGCATTCGTCCGATGGCAGCGACTGGATAGCGCACCAAACGGCCGGTCGTCGACGTACCCTGGAATCGAGCGATCTCCGTCTCCAACGCATGACAGCGACCGCCAGGCATCGCCGCCGGTGACGCCTCCGGCTCACCGGTATCCCACCACCGCTGCGCCGTTGCCCTCGCCTCCGTCCAAGCACGAAATATCGTCGCCACGCCCGCCGCCAGATATGCCGGTCTCGCTGCATGTATCGCCGGTCGTGGTTGCTGCGACTGCACAGGACATGCTGGCTGTGCCGCGCCAACAACCTCCACTACTACCACCCGCGGGGTTTCCACCACTGCCAGTCGCGGCCCCTGCACCGTCGCCAATTGCTGTGTACCGTGCTCCAGTCAACGTGGTCACACCAATGCAGACCCCTCCTATCTCGAAGACTAAGTTTACTACGGATGTATACAACGAACTCGTGCGACGCGACAAGCTCGGCGTGAAGCCGCGGTATTTTGCCAAGTGCAAGTATACTGTGTGCAAGAATCAATCGTGCAATTACGGTCACTCGAACCAAGAGCTCAAGATCATTGGAGTCACTCGGGCGATTTCGATTGGAGACGTATGGAAGACGGTCGAGTGCAACAATCCCAATTGTCAATTTCCTGGGTGTGATTATCTGCATGAAAGCGACAAGCGCAGTGCGATCGACTCCCTCAAGGTCCAAGCGCGGGACATTGTCGATCATGCTCGCGTCTCGGACGACGCGGGGGATGCACTCATGGTGACATTTTGTGATGGCCGCACCGTCAATGTCAAGATGAAGTAAAAATGGCGATCGATTCTTGCGCATATCATGGTGTACACATATCTAGGAGTGAGTTGCTATTCGCTCCAATTTGAACTCTCTTTGCCAGAGTGTTTTGGCACAGTGTGGAGGTCATGGAAAACGAGACCGCGGGCTTTGCCGTCGACAATTGTGCTCGCTGGACCAGTTTATCAAAAGCCGAATCTCTGTCGGTGTGGCATTCAATGACCCTCCGAATGGAGACACTTGAGAGTTGCCATTCTGAACTGACAGGAACCTCAACGTCAGTGGACCGTCCGCGTGGACAGGTCATTGTGGCCGTCCAATGCGCGCTGCATCTGATCGTTTAAGTGCACCTGCTTGGCGACGGTTCCATGCAAGGCCCGTGCGGATTTCTGTCTCGAAAATCTCGTACAATTTCCTTCTCGGCGCGACGACTCGGAACCTCCACTCGTCCAAGAGCATCATGTTGGGTATGTGTGCGTGCATTTGTTTGCGTCCGCCACGATGGCATGACCCTCCTGTCCTGGCGATTCGCTTCTGGCCACACAGAATGGTCTCAATGTTGGATTTGGACCGATTCCAATCAAACGACATGTTTGTGCGGTATCGCCACGTCATGTTCGCCT